CAAATTCAATGGAGCAAGACTGAATTTGAACGTGAAAATATTCCCTGGGAAGATTGTCTGTGATACGAAATGGTTTCAGCTCCACTTGTCCAGACATTGTCAAAATGATTAAGGATCGTGTATTGGTGTGAAACAGATAAATTGAGCTCATGCATTATTAATATTTTAAATAATATATTTTTTAAATATAAAATTTACTTTCTTTAATTTTATTTTTATGATGATATATTATTTATTATATATTTTTTTTTAAAAATTATTTCGTAAACATAGTTTAATTGAAAAATGTAAATTTTGAATTTTAAATAAAAAGATCATAAAATACAAATAAAATAATTTTTATATTATTTTATGCTTAATAAACGTTAAGATAGTTAAATATATTATATCATTTTACTTTTAAATTTACATGAGAGATGTTTTAAAAAGTTCAAATTTCCTAAAGAATACAAAACTAAATACATTTTTAATATTATTGTTAATAAATAAATAAATATCAAATCAAACATATTTTTATAATTGAATACGTTAAGTGATAAGAGTTATTTTAGTTTAATTTATAATCTTAAATTTAAATAACAATAAATATATTATATTAAATACTTAGAAGAAGAAATTTATTTATATAAAATTATCATTACTAAATATTTCTATACATAAAGTAAATTAATAATTTATTATTAATTACAGATTTGTTAATTATTTATTTAATTCATTTCACTACTTCAAAAATTAATACAAATAATTATTTATCCAACTGAATATTGTACCTTTATCAGCAATGTACTTTTCCACCTTGTTAATACCAAAAGCAATAAAATAAAATAAAATAACGGTTCATTTGTATACTAAAGTGAACGCAAAGCCTAAGAGTGGATAAAGGGAGTGAAATTTTATCATGCAATCAGTAAGCGATTTTTTTATAGAAATATTAATTTTAGCCATTAAAGTTGAGAATAAAAAAAATTAAAAAATTAATATATTTATCATGTAAAAATGTAAAAAATTAACAAATATTATCTTTCTAATAAAAAATATTTTTAGATACTTAAAATTAATTTCAAAAATTGAGATTAGCAATATTATTGTTTTATTATTTTTAAATTTACCTCTCTCAATAAAATACATGGCTGAAAATTGAACTCCACTCAAGGTTTTTTTTTTCTTCATGCTTTGAATCAGTTTTTCTAAGAATAATAAGTTTTTATGAAAAAAAAATGAAACAAGAGAACATTACAGAATTTTATGTGTTAATAATATTAAATATTATAATTTTTAATACAAATTTATTCTTTTTCATTTTTAATGTATATCTTTAAACACATTAAAAAAACTGTTATACTTTTCTGAATATGAGTTGATATAAAATATGATTTTTATTAGTTAATTAAATTAATAATATTTTTATAATAAAAATTATTAAAAAAGAATAGTAATACACATTTTAAAATGAGAATATATAAACACTCTTCAATTCTTAATTAAATGATATATATATATATATATATATATATATATATATATATATATATATATATAATCTTTATTGTTGCGTAACACAATCAGCTTGTGTCTCAGATGTTTTTAAATTTTATGCTTCCTAATTATAATCTCCTTTTTTTATCACCATACTATTATAAGAAAATAATTGTACAAATGTAATAAAATTTTAAAATGCATACTATGATGATCAATTATAAAGTTTGAGGGAAAAGCAAAGCACAAAATGTATGTGTTATGGTGTTGTTAGTATCACTCTTTAATTAAAATTATAATTATAATTGCTAAATTATTTATAGATCTACACATAAAAGCAAATTCATGTTCTCATTAAATTTTATGTTTATGAAATTGTATTAATACTTTAAATTTGAAATTTAAACTTGCAAACTGACTGAAAGTTCTCAACCTTATGACAATATATATATACATACATATATATATATATATATATATATATATATATATATTCATTTAAAGAATTTGGTTATATTTGGCTACAGCTCTGTAAATGGATCAGCCATGTTGATGATAAGGAAAGGGACAGTGATGTTTGTCTTCATACAACAGATTGATGTTGTGGGTGAGTGAGTATTGTAAGTATTCCCAACATGAATTTATATTAACGTTCAAATGAGAATGAGGTGGTTGTCGTATTAAGGTTTTGTGAACATCACTGGTTTGTTCATTATTGTATTAATGTATGCTTCACTGTATTTTTGTCCTCTTCTCTCACATTCACATAGCCAGTGCATGTTCTGCACAGCACAAATAAGCCATTACTGTATCATTTTATTCTTCGACATTCTTTTTCATTTCAGTGGACCATTTAAGAATTTTTTTTTAAATACTTATTTTAGGGTGTGGAGTACTGTCAATATTTGTCATACATCGAAATAAGATATTGTAGCATCTTGGATAGATACTATTTGTCAATTACATCATTTGTTTGTTAGTTAAAGTTTCTTTAAGAAATCCTCCCAAAGGGAGGGTAGCCTCTTCATGAAAAAGAATAAGTTTTTCTTCTTTTTAGGTTAAATCTTATACATGCTATTCCTTAACTATTCATATTTAGAAAAATCTTCTTACAATATTGTAAGAAAAAAGATCATTAATTGTATTAACAGTTTATTGGAAACTGCCGATCTCATAGCTAGCATGAACCTATAATAATAACAAGAAAAGTGTTAACTAATAATAGTAAAATTTTATTAAAAAAATATTTACTATACTTTTATAAAAAAATTTATCTGTAACCTGGTTTACAAAGCAAGGGTTCTACTTCTCAAATGATTCCTTCCAAACTTCCAGTGTTTCCTTAGCGTCTATTTTGGAAATACCCATAATCAATTTCTTCTTTTGTGACATACATTTCAATAACATTTAATAATTTAAACTGATTTTATGAAATAAATTATACCTAATTTAAAAAAAGAAGGCTCTTAATCCTTAAAGGATTTGTCTTCCATCTTTAGCTTAGGGCTAATTGGAAGTTTGACACATTGTTTGAAGTTTTAATATTTTTCATTAATGCTTTGAAAAGAAAGTATCATTCATCGCTTACCAATACCAAAATTCAAAGATACAATAAATCTGCATGAGAAGGTGCAGCTACACTTCATTTTTGAATTTAAAGCGCCATGGAGAATGTGACATGTCATCTGACTCCATTTTGAAAGCAAGGACCAAAGGAATTAACAATGGTGTATGGGTGCTAAGGGGTACCTTGCCTTGAACTGTTTGTTACCTGTGACTCGTGACAGAGTAGTGGACAGACGGTTTATCTACAGCACAGTGATCCCGTGAAGGACACATAATTCAAATCCTGCTAATAATTCCATGAGATAAGGTCCCATTTCGTATGACTATTATTTACTTTTATTTTCTTTTTTATTAAGTTATTTTTCGAAGACATGTTGATACAAGCATTTATTATTTATTATGTACTTAATTTATTACTAGAGTGGTGATAATAACTAAAATCAATGAAAAGTTTAATTGGTTGAACAATGTTTTAGCATTTTTTATTGTGATATATCTCTTTCACTATTTATAATTAATTTTTGTTTTAAATTTTGTTTAACAATCAGTTACCAGCAAATTTTTTTTTTTATCAATAATGGAATATAGAAGTACTATGACAAATGGGCAATGTAGAAATATACTTCTATTTTAGTCTGAAAACGACCAAAACATTATTAAACTCCATTACTTTAGTAAAATATACTTTTCCAAACAATGTCGTATCATTAAAAACACATGTAGGGTTTTTAATTAAAAAGTTTGAGTATGGTAAAGGATATTTCTCGGCTAATTAGAAAGTTGGTTGCGGTAATGAGTGCTCTACAAATTAGGTGACACAATCTTACATATTTTTGTTGTTGTTTGAGACGTCACATTATGGCCTTGAAATGATTATTTTGTTGTTAATAACTAGGTTATTGTTCATGAAAAGATCCTATATTGTTGGAGAATGTGTACTTTATAGCCATAGCAAGAACCGCAGTTGAAGAGCTATGGGTCTACTACCATTACGGCTCAATGTGCGTGGTAGAAGTGGTTTAGGTGATGCAACCTCTATCCATGGAATGAATGGCTCCATGCTATTTTTGGGGGAGCAAGTGAACAAATTCTAAATTATGGTGCCAAGTGAAAAATGTAGACAAAACCAAGAACAGCCAGAGGCTACACTAGAAACTAAGCTTAGTAAGGGTTTGCCATGCCATCCTTTGGACAATGATATTTAAAGATCATAAGACTTTTGTGTTTGAATTAACCTATGTTTGTTATGGATATATGAAGGAATCTTACAAACCCAAGATGTATACTGTATTTGGACATCCGATGCCTTTTCACACAAAGAATTCAGTAAAAATAATTATTTTTTAAATAATCTTTCACTAATCGAAACTTCATATTCATTTGATAGGCTTGTTTTACATCTTAATAGAAGTATGTCAAAGACAAGTATTGAAAAGTATCTGATGTTTTAGATTTTAAAGATTCCCTATCTATTGGGTAGTTCAGTAATGTTTAGTTGCTTTCTAATGGCATATCAAGAAGGGTCATATATCGTTGGATTAATCCCAATAATCTATTTCAGTTTTAGTTCTTATACTTAAGTTTGATTTTTTATCTTTATAATTTATAAATTTAGATTTTAATCTTATTAGTTTTATTTCATTTTGATTTTAGTTCCTATAATTTTATTTTCTTTAGATTTGGTAGCTTTAGTACCTTGCAGAGCACCTATCCTAGCATGTTGTTGGTAATGTGAATCTAAACCAAAACTATTAAATATAAATTAAAATTGAAATATGATGTAAGCTTTAAGGACTAAAGATGTCCCGCTCATTCGTTCAAAATAACAAATTCAACTATTTGTTAATCATTACCTAGGCTAACCAGTTCAGATTGTTCACTTATACATCAGTGATAACATAGTCTCCAATCATTTAAACCGAAGACTTTATTTTCCCGTTTTGAATCATGTTGATTTCCAATGTATAATTTTTACAATTTTTAAGTTTTATTACAAATGTATCATACACCTGAACTAAATAAGGAATTTTTTTTTTACAATTTGTCAAGTTTTATTACAAATTCAAGTATCAGACATAATTACAGATAAAGATGATACAACTGAACTAAATAGACATTTCTTCTATCATTTTGTCAATCTAGTAGATTAACAGCCATTGGAGAAAACATCATGGTAAAGAAAAAATGCAACACAGATAATCTATCTATTATCAAAGATTGAACATGCAAATGTCCATTCATTACTCTTAACAGTACCAAGGAAGGAATCAAAGAGGCTTTGCACCACCACCATTCTCCAGTGCATTATTGACTGGGGTAGTAGAACCACTCTTTCTACCTGTGATTGTCCTGCCAACAAACTTCCCCGCCTTGCTCAGTCCACTACCAAAGGCTCCAAAACCACTCCCAACAAGGCCGGCTCCAGCCCCAATGCTGCTGCCAACAAGGCCGGCTCCAGCACCAATGCTGCTGCCAACAAGGCCAGCTCCAGTGCCAATGCCACTTCCCACAAACCCAGCACCAGCAACAACGCCGGTACCAACAAGCCCAACACCAGACCCTACCACTGATACTGCTCCATCTAGTGCATCCATTGTGCTTCCTATGATTCCCTCCTCTTTCAGTTTCTTCCTGTCTTCCATTATCTTTTTTTCTGCTTCTAAAGCGACCAATTGCTCTTCCTTGTTAAACTGATGATACAAGACCTGAAATTCCGACCTGATTATAACTTTCAATCAACTAAGAGGGTAGTAAGTGACCAGCAAGTAGGGGGAGGTTAATGTATGCAAATGACAGTAAGATCTAAAAACATGAATGAAAGAATAAACAAGTTTATATTTCATTTTTCATCTATGACTAAATCTGTATATACTAAGCACAGCCCCATAATAATTTCACCATCAAATACAAATATATCATTGCATATACCTTTATTGTCAAGGTTCCTCGATCCTTCTTATCTTTCACCTTCAGTGTATCAAGTGATGCCAGCAGCCTCAATTCTAGGTGCTTTACTGTTTCTGCTTCCAGATCAATAAGGGGTAACTGTACTACTCCCAATCGCTTATCTTGCCCAATGTCTTTATCAAAAACCTGTTTGGAGAGTCACGAACATCATTGTGTTAGTTGTCTTGAATAAATTGAGGTAAAGAAACAGTTTATGTTGACTGTTATATGGAGAAAAAACATAGGAGATCAAATATTAACAGCTATAACTGCATATAGACAGATGAAACCTTTGGTTAGAAACAGGTTTAGGAAAAAATACAAACTCTGGTCAAAATTCTGGGATCTATTTCATAAAATTCTCAAAGAAACCTGGTATTTGAGTCAGTAGTCAAGTAGAGATTCTAATATATACCACCATAGCTCATAGAACTTGCCACCATTGGCAGATCTAGAAATTTTTCTTAATTGAGGCAAAATATACTAACATAATTTTTATAAAAAAAAGAATGGCTCTAGGATCAGGATTAGGAGGTTCAATACAGGAGCTGTGAAATAAAGTAATCATGCTAGGGAAGCATGTAATATGCTTCTAATCATCATACATTAGTATCAGCAAGTAAGTAATTCACTATATTTTTATTTTCATATATATATATATATATATATCAAACATACAAAAACAAAATTTTCAAACTCTGGCATAAGTAATTAGCAAAGTTTAAGAAGATATATTTATGAAAACAAATGTCACAGCATATCTCTAAGAAAGGAGGCAAAAAAGAGAGCAGCACAAAAGGAGGTAAGGTGAAGTATTGGTAGGGTAAAACCTCAAGAATGAGTGACTGGGTCTCCTTGTCTTCTGCAATCAGCTCAAATGTCTGATCCCAAATAGGATTCAAGTTGTTATCAATAACCTTGGTCTTATACTTAAATAATGGTCGAATATGCATAACTACATAAGGATCTGACTTTCCAATCATTTCCATATTCTTTAAATCATTCGCTCTCACCACAGTCACTGTAAGTTTTCCCTGGGGCTTAAGCTCTAGTTCACTGCAATAAAGAGAACAAAAAAGGTAATGCTTAAGAGTGTGATTGCATATATTTAGCCAATAACATTGAAATTGACATTCCCAATTTGTTTTTCTTTTTCCCATGGAGGGGTGGGGGTTCGATTGAAAGAGGCAAAATTTGCTTAAATAGTTACACAAAAATTTCAAACTCAAATTAAAATTTTGTCAAAGGGATATGGAATTATACCTAGTCATGCTTGCATCAGCAATCGGAACGAGTAAAAGAAAAGGCAAAAAATTGATAAGATTAATAATTACCTAATATCAACAGGAATACCGCCTAGTGGAACTACAATCCTATGAGGCCATTGGAGCATGTCAGTAACAATTGATTTGACAGTATCCTAGAAATAGTGGGTAAATGTTAGTGTTATAAATGCTGCTTCAAAAACAGTATAAGAGAAAGAGGCAGTACGTTAAACAGATAGAACTCACATCAATCATATCCGAAATTCCAGGAATAGCTGTCAAACTTCCACCAACAGCTTTCAAAGTATAATCAATCTTGGGCTTTGGCTGATTAAATTGTTAATGGAAAAAAGTCAGTCATTCCAAGAGTGAAAAAAAAGAAAATATTTTAGCATGAATAATGAACTTTGCAAGGCTGATAAAAGTATTCAACAATTCAATCAGAATATAGATCTAGTCCTAGAGAAGATTAAAACGGTTTAGCTATTAACAGTAGTGTCCCCGATTCACAATCTTTAGAAGTGGACCATCCTAATAATGGCCCCAACATGATGACTTTGGTGAATACAGAATCAGATGTTTAAATGTAATTAACATATGTTTGATCTGAAGGGACCTCTTATCCTTTTTTCTAATTTGCTTAATCAACTGTACGTAATCATAGATAAATTCTTCATATAGAAAAAGCATAAATTAATGCCACACAATCATATCTTGCGGTGACAACACACATACTAAATTTCAAATAAATAGTCAATTCAAATACTTCAAAACAGTATTTGCAAGAGTTTAGAAAAGGGTTTGCACAAAGAAAACTGTAAATGGCAGAGTCAAAAAACCAAAACAGTTTTGATGTTTTTGTATGCAAACTCATTTCATTATTTCCCTCTGCCTCCCCCAACGATTACCTCAGCAAGCAGAGCAACAACAACAGCAGAAATGCAAGGAATCTCTTCAGCGAGTTGGAATATAACACGGATAATGGTGAAAACCTGTAGATCCTTCAACTGAAGCAAAAAGCAATAAAATTCAAAATTTGTCAAATTATAAAAGGAACATGATGAAATTCAACAGTAGAATACTTTGCTAAGTCCAACCTGAATAGGGATTGATGCAACAAGTGCAGCTTCAACAGCCAAAATAATACTGGGATCACCACCCCAGCGGAAATCAATGTCCATTATGATTTGACCTTTCTTAAGACTCTGGACACGAATACCTGTTAGGTTGAACAAATTATGCATATATGAATTCTTGACATACAAAAAAAAGCTTCCATAATCTCAACTTATCACATTATAAATCTCTCAAAAGGAAGCATGCAAGAAGGTGCAGTGTTGACAAGTCAAGCAAAGTCACACATGAACCCAATTATGGTCCAATTTGGATAAACTTCTTACTATGTACTTATAGTAGAAGAAAATAAATAATTAAAGTGAATCAAACTTGTAACAAAAGATAATATCAAGTTATGCACCTCAACTTTTGGATAAGTTAAATAAGAGAGCATCTAAAAAGGTGAGGTGTAAAAGTTTATTTCAACTTGTGAAAAGAGTTTGATTTGTTTTACCTCTTTATTTTCCTCACCTATAAGTGTTTAATGATAAGTTTATTCAAATTGGGTCTATTTACAAGTTGATAAACTCTGTTTTTGAAAAAAAAAAATCATTAGCTCTAATAAGTTTCAACATGGCTCCATCACAGCACAGATCTAGCATGGATTCATGTTCAGGAACTGCTTGCTAAGTCCAGAAGACAAGCTCAAACTGAGCAAACTAAGTCAATGATCAGAACACTTTTCTTCAAAGAAGTTGGGTTTCTTTAAAGTAAAGACTGCAACTTATGACAGGAATTTTCATTTATCTTATGGAATTTTTGGATGTAGTTTGTGCATTGGATTTAGAGTATCCTATAAACACAAGTTAGGTTTATGTGAATATGATAGAATTATAATTTTATTTTATTTTTGCTTTCAATTAATATTTTTTGATAGAATAATACACTAAAAGGAGTTAAAGAAAGAATGTAAACCATGGGAAGACACAAAATCCTTAAATAAAGAAAACAAGAGAAGAAAACAATAAGTGAGATCCAGCTTAAAATGCACCAAAGCTGTCCAGTCTCTTTGCAAATCAGTGAGTGAATTCCCTTGAAACAACCATGAGAAAAGCACCAAAAAATATCAATGAACAGAATCCAATCCCAGAAAATATTGAAGGCAAAGAGATACCCATTCAACCAAATTAGCTACACAGAAGACAAAAGGGGGTAAAATGAGGAGCAAAGTGCATAGGGATAGAACATACGAAAATCAGTTCAGTGATATTGTTGGGTATTAAATTGCCCCTCTAGAAGTTAGTGCTAGGAAATAAAAGAGGGATAATGTAAAATAAATACCATCAGCAAGCTAATGGTACCCTTTAAAACAAAGAATTTAATTTGGCTTTTGGCATAAACGGGGGAGAAAAACTTGATTGTACAAAGGATCCTGCAGCCTGCTAACAAGTGCCCAAAGGCTACTAGTAAGAAATTGATAAATAAAATGATTTTATTGTAAATCATGGAAAAGGTGTGTTGATAACATTTTCCCCATCAAACTTTATTTTTTATTCTTTACTACCCTAAAGGGCATTCTTGTTTTACAAAAAGTCTGGCAAATTTTTAAATATGATTCATGAAGCAGTCTACAAGGAATGCTGTCGAAGTAGATGGCAGGACAGCCTCATCAGAATTTACAAATTCCTCATGTGCAGTAGTATATTTACCAGGGGAAAGAAGGATCAGAGGAATTACTATTGGTTCATACCTTCAATTTTTGGAGCCACGTTTCCAAGTGACAGCTTGCTGAACTTCAATGAAGTAATTCCAGGAGGTCTGTAATCTTCCAGCAGAGGTTCAACAGATTCTCTGATCACCATAGTTGCTGCCTAATGGTAAATAAAATCTATCAAGATCAAGTCATCAATTTAAGCAAAGCAGGAATAGACCTCTGAAGATTTGCAAAGAAATTTCAAGCAGAAAGGTCTCCAAGTGCCTAAGCACAAGGGGATGGGATTTATCTCCAATCAAAGCATGGTGCATACTGTATCATAGAACATAAGGTACATGCAACTTTTTAAAGAAATTTTGTTGGGTGAGAAGAAAGGAGAAATACAAGTAGTATACACACAAATACACACACAATTCAGATTATATATGCATGGCATGTACAACTGGGTGCAACCTTGGAACTGGCAAGCTATACAAAATAAAGGCTAGTCACTGTTTCTCAATTCCTAGTATCAGTTTTAATGGGCACAACACACATGCTAGCAAACAATGTCCAATTGAAGCTATAGTACAAAACTTGTTCTATAAACCGGTAATGCTTCTTTAGGCGATTAGTAACTCCTAACTTTGAATTCAAAGTGAATGCAGCAGACAAATCAAGCACTGTAGGGCTTTTGGCATTAAGCATATTATTCTACAAGCCACAAAACATGTGACATTCAAAGTAAATCATCACACTCATGAAATTAATAGAAAGAATGATATTTTTAAAAGATGATAGATTAATTACTTTGATGACACTAGGGGAAAAAGAATATTTCTGTATTGCTATTGCCAGAACAAGAGTCGAGTCATATAAAGAAAAGATGGCTAATACTTAACGAAATTTTTTCTTTCAAACCACAAAAGTGGCATTTTAGAACTTAGAAGCAATATACTCTGGTACCAGAGTAAATAAGCAGTCTAATTTTAATTACAAAAAAATATATTCAATAAAATGGCATGCTGGAATACAGAAATGAGGGGAACACTTAAGTTCTACCATATAAATAAATCTTATAAGAAATCAATGGATAACACTGCCCAGACTACTGTATACAAACACATAAAGTGCATGCAGGCTTACTCACTTCTGCCACAAATGGCCAAAGTTTGGTCAGTTCCTTGTTTAGCCATTTCACCTGTAAAAGCCCGAGCAATGAAAAGTCATATACAGAAAACAGTCATACTATAATAATAGTTGAGCTGTATAAAATTTTTCAAACCCACCTGTTCATATACAGGAAAAGATATCCATTCAGGAAGATTATCACCACAAATTTTCTTTAAATCATCTCTGTTAAGCGATCCAAGGAGTTTAATGTCAACTGCCTGCAACCCAAAAAGATAATAAACATTAAGACAAGAAAAAAAATTATATGTGAAAACAGGACTTTTCCTCTAAACAGAAAATATGTCCAGCTAAAACAAAAACTCAACATGATAATGATATCCATATTAAATGTTAATGTTATAGTGCTCATTGTGACCCCCCTTCTTGTATTTCTCCAATATGCATTAGATGTTAATAGATAAGCTTATAAGTCATTGCAAACAGAGGACAGTATTAGATGTTATTCAACATGCAAAAATTTCTGATTTGAAGTTTCCCTCTTACTCCATTTATACTATCTTATAATGGGCCACTATGCAGTTTCTCAAAGGAGTTGCCTTTATGAATCCATTAAACAATAAATCATGACAAACAACAAAACATGATATACCTTTTGTTAATAAATCATGCATACATTTGTATTATGCTTTCAGAAAAAGAATTAAGATTAGTGTTGAATTTAGCGATAACTGAAAGATGTTTTCACAGTTTCTTGTAAACATATTTGAAAACAGAAAAACAGAGTGGCATTTTTAAATTATTTGTGGAAATAGGAAATGAAAATAGATCATGTTTTCTCAAACCAAACAGGCCTTAAATTTTCAACTTCCTCTCAGTTACTCATTCTTGAGTACAGCTCAAAACTTTTGGGTTGGACCAAAAGGAGTGTTAGGTAGATGAGAAATTGCTCCTGTGGTTAGATGCCACTTTATTATCACTTTCCCTAGCTACAGTTCACAAGTAACAAAAAGTGCTTAGTTGAAAGTTTAAGTTTATACATTCTACTAATCTATTCATTTCATTGCCTCATTAAACTATTTTATAAATATCCAAATAAAGGAACATTATTTCCACACCATTTCATTTCTTCTCTTCTCACTATTTCATTCTAATACTCTTCAGAGTTGCTGCCTCATGTGATCCTTTCTCACACTGATTACTTACATTCCTCCTATATGATAAGCTTTATTAAAAATTTAAAATTATTAGTGGATTATTGGCACTCCCATGAACCCAATGATCACCCAATTTTTCATTTCAAATTTGAAAAAGTCGCCCATTTGTTACTTCACAATTCATCAACATTTTTGTTCCCAATATTGCCTAGTACAGAGAAATTCAAACATCTCTCAAATTTTGATCAACAAAACCAAGGTCAAAACATGATTGGGATGAAACAAAAAACCATTATCATCATCATACCTTTGCAATTCGCTTGGCGCTTCGGTACCTCATCATGCGCTCCCATCCTGCCATCAATGCGATGCCGAATACCATCCCCAGAAAAATCCCAGAAATCAAACCCATTTTCCCAGATTCCAAAAACCACCTTTTCCCTTTCAACACAAAAACACAAACCCAAAAGTCAAAACCAAAAACAACCACATGAAAAAAAAAGAGGGGGGGGGGGGGCAACAAAGCAGAAAGCCAAATACGAAACTTTCTTTGAAAATTGAGAAAAAAATCTCAAAGGGTCTCACTTTAGAGGATGAAGCCAATTGGAATGAGATTCCGCGGAGAGACCAAAAGTTGCAACCAGAAATGAAAACCCAAAATGTTGATTTTTTAATTATTTTTTGTGTTTTAATGCTGAGAGCTGTGGGACTCCCTCCTTCACAGTGTGAGTCTTCAAAACTCCGAGAAATGTAAACTTTTTCTCGTTTCTAACGTCACTTTCAGTGTTGTGGATTCATCTTCTCTTCTCTTCCTCCACAAGATTTAAAACAAAGCATTAAAGCGTTGTAGCTGAGCTGTAGGGACTCCACACCTTCAACATTGTTTGCAATTTTACATTTATAGATTCCCTTTTATATATTACTTTCCTACGAGGAATATTAAACAACATATTTTTAGCACATCTTTTTAATATTAAATTATAATTTATAAAAATATAAAATTTGTTTTATTAAAATAAAATTTAATTTTAATAAAACTATATATAATAAAATATAATTTATTAATGTATGTTTAATTATACATATTAAAAATTTATGAATATTAATTTTTATTAAAAATTATAAAATATCACATAATTCAATAAAGTAATAATATATTTTTTAATACAAAATTATTACTTATTAATTCTTTATTACGTATTTAATAATACATGTTAAAAAATAATTAACATTTTATTAAAATATAATATTTAATAATGTTAATATATTACATTTTATAATTTATATTAAAAACATTATATACAAATTTTTAAAATTTTTTTAATTTTAATTTTTAAGATGAACTTTAAACACTTGAAAATAATATGCTTTTATTGAAAATTATAATATTTATTATATAGTTATATTTTAAGATAATAAATATTTTTTTATAAAAATTTATTGCCTTTAATTATATAATTTTAATTTTGAAAACTGATTTTAATATTTTATAAACTTTTACTATATATTTATTTTATTTAATTTATATGAATGTAGATTTCATTGTCGTGTCAGTTAATGCAGAAAATTACAGGGGTTGAGTGTTGACCGTTTGGTTATGGAAGAATGGAACAGCAAAGAGAAAGATGGAAGGTGTTTGTTGCATCTTCCATTGCCTTAATGCCGTTTGGATTTTGTCTCATTTTCACAATGTCTATGACCTATCATATCCATTATCCACACCCCAACCATAAACTTTTGGGCCAAACCATGTGTTCCTTCACTTTTCAGCCAGGTGATAAGGAGTTAAGGAAACTAAATTTGTACTTGTGAAGCAAAGTTTGCCTTTATTAATGTAAATTATGATCTTGATTTAGTCATATTTTTATGTTTTTTTTCTTTAAAATAATACAGAAATTTATAACATATTTTTAGGCATGATGAATATAATTAAAATCATTTTTAATGTTTAATTAATCTTAATAATAAAGTATTATTTATTTAATTATATCACATTAATTTATGTTAGACTATTATGTGACGTTACATGTTAAAATAAACAATGCATAATTAATAAGTGGCTAAGATAGACTTAAGACAATGCCACGTGCCTACTTGTTTGAATAATTTATTGTGAACTTTTCTTAATGCACAAGTTCTTTTTTTCAGGGGAAGGTGGGAAGACATTAAGGGGTCGGTTGGAAAGAATAATTTTTTAAAAAATGGGAAAATGATATTTTTTATTAAAATAAATATATTTAAATTTAGTATTTTTAAAATTTATCATAAATAATATATTTTATTAATTTTTTAAAAAAATATGACTTTTTCTTTCTTGAAATTTTGGTAGCAAATATCCAGCTTAGAATTAGCTGGACGATGGGCCATAGTCCCTATATTTTAGCTAATTCCATGTTCAGTTCCAAAAAGAATTGTATCACCTCCAACAACTTTTATTTGCTTCTTCTTGTTCATAACTTTACACCGGTTATTAAATATTTATATCATTTAACATTTTTTTTTATAAAATATAAAATTGACAAGCATTTCAATATTATAAAACTTTATATTAAGGAAAATTTACAACACTTCGTCGTTACTTTGTTTTAATAAATAATATCTTTTTAAAATATAAATAAATATTAAAATTTGGATAATATACTTCTAAATATCTAAATTATGTAAAAATTGATATACATAAAAAAAATAAATATAAAATGGTTCATGATGAAGCGATAAATATTTATGTTTGATAATTGACTCTCTCTAAAAATCTCATTTAATGATTTAAACTGCATACACTTTTAAATAAAGAAAAAAAAATTATAATTTTTATCAATTTTATTAATAAAACTTACCATTAATCAAAATGAATCTTTATTTAATTTAAAAATATTTTTTCTCTCTAATTAGCAATTAGCATGACTACTAGTGTATTTAAATAACCGTTTATTTATTTATTCAATAATATCTTCATATTATTGATATAAATTACAAAAAAATATTTTTTATAAAATTTAAAAAAATATTACAATAAGTTAAAAAAAACTTAAAGTCGTATGCCATTTTCATAAATTTTAATGAAAATTTCTAAACGCATGCCTTATATCATGTTACTTGTCAACAGGATCTAAATTCTTGCATAAGCTATAGATAATCTGAATTTATAAGCTGTCTATATATATTTTTAACAAATACCCGTTTAAAGGTTAGTGACTTGTAATCTTAATACTCAAGCAAACATGTTGATGATCGTGTATAGAAAATGTATTTTGAATATAAAATTGGGACAATAAAATGATATTTCTTTAACTGTTTGATATGTTTCTAAGATGTGTACATATAATAAAAATAAAAGCTAAAAACAAAATAATTATATACAATACTATATAATATCAATGTTTTAATATTCAGAGATAACGGATGTGATGTTGCATTGATTTTAATTTAATTGATCCAAGAAGGAAAAATTAGGGAGAGAGGGAGATTGTGAGACATTTGGTAGTTATTGTGTGGTCCAAGTACTGATATGATAGTTATAGTAGCAGCAAGGCAACAAGTGACTTGTTTTTCACAAAAAATTGCAAAATGTTAATTGAAGAGAATGAGTAATTAAATAATTAATCAATTAATTTAATGTCTACTCGAAGAGGTAGCTGAGTGAGTCACTTCATTATGCATAGACAATCTCTTTGGTTTTGACAAAAGGAGTGGAAAGTCCAAAAGCTTCGCATTTCAATTTGTCTATACGATAAAAACATATTAACTTTAGGCGTGTCGGGACAATACATCATGATTACTATATTTATTGAAAGTTATATATTCTACTCAAAATGTTTGTTTGATGACATTTGGTTTCCATTTATTCATCTTATAATTTATGGTGAAGCTTCTTTATTGAAATTATAATACATTATAAGAAAAGAGAGAGATGCAAATTTTGTGTATAACAGAACTTAAGGATATGAACTTATCAGAATGTATACGAATTCATGGATTAAATTGACCTACGTTTATTCAAAGTAGCTTGTAGCTACTTGATCAGTAGAGCTTGTTTTTTATTTATTTTTTCAAATAAGTCTCCTAAAAATGATTTTTCATTCTTGCACAATCCCTCTATTAGTAATTAATGATTTGTTAATCTTTTAAATTATTTATCTATGTAACGTTTAACTTTACTGGTATAATATTACATGGAGTTAATGTGAATGATGAAAATATCACATCTATACATTTATTTATTTTTATATTCTATAATCTCAATTTAAAAAATTTTACTAATAAAATATGAAGAATACAATGATAATAATAGCACATCTAATCCATGTTATATCCTAATGAAATTATATAAGACAAGTCAGATATTATGTAAGCAAATAACATAATAAATTAACAAATTACTAATAAAAAGCCTGAATAAAAATAAAAAATGATACTTAAAAAACTAGATTGAAAAATATTAAAAGGAAGAAACCAAATAAAGAAAATCACAAATCTTTAGCCAACATTCTTCGTTATCCTGCCAGAAAAAGTTTCATTTTTTGCTATTAGGTGATACAGTCTAACATGTGCATACTTTGACTAACCCACCTCTTCGATCTGTTAAAAGAAATCATTCATGTCAAAAAGCAGGAGATACGTTTTCTCTTTTGGTAACTTGACGTCAATAGTAAGATTCAATTTTATAGCAAAGTACCTATGCTATGCATGCATCATGATTTGTTAAATCAACCACTTGGGTTAGTGCATATTGTGTTTGATTAAAATTGATAAACAAGTCCAACTTGTCATCACGTGAAGTTTTACTCAATGCCCACAAATATTTCTTCACCCAAAACTGGATCACCTATTTCATGAGAATAATAAGATGTTGTGTCTTGCACTCCAAACACAGGCATATGCAATTGCAATAATCATAAAGGACCATTATTCACTAGTTCTGTCCTTTTGAATTATTAAAGAGTGATCTCTCTCTTAACATGCACATAAAAAAGATAGCCATTTCTTTGGAGCAACTTTCACAATTTTTCATGCATTGAGGATTATCAAATACATGCTATAACTCATCCTACACATCAGGTGACATCAATATTTCAGCACCATTTGATCATTACATTACATAATTAGATTAGATGAGGTTTAATCCAGCTTACATTCACCATTCGACTTATTTGATGGACAAAACTTATGTTAAAAAAACATGCTATAACTGGTTTCCACTGATCATCAGTCATTCAGTTATTTCAGATGCAATGCATTAGTGTCAAAATTTTAGGACTTAAATGAAAAAGGGAACAAGATGGAGCGAAAACACAAGAAAATATATCCATCGAGACTATGAAAAATTGTGATACAAAACACCAACCTAGCACCTTCATTTATACTGAAAAGACAACTGAAAATTTGTTCAAGTATTTTGAGGTCACTCTCCAGACAGGGAAACAATCTTGTGTTAGCTAAAATTTCACATGAAATAATGCTACACAGGCACACATATAAAGCATGTATAAGAGCATAAACCTAGTACTTTGAATTAGGGAGGTATACAGGCATCACTATACGAGACATAAAGGACACTGAAGCACATTCCCTCTACGATAATATACACCACCTGTGATGGGGATATATGTAAGAGAAATACAGATGCTAAAAACAATGACACAATGGAACAAGAACAAGGTGTCAAGACAAGTCCTAGTATGCAATTCATACTTGTCCGGTTGTCAACATTGTTAGATATCACCATTACCTTGCTGAGCCTTTGACTCATAAAAGAGCCTTACAGTTGAGTAAATGGTAGAGGGTTCAGCCATTGCACCATTGCCGTAATCCCCGCAAGCTAACCTCTTTGTAACAGGTGGGATGAGAGAAATGCCAAGCTCATCGATAGAGATGAGATGCCGCTCTGTAAAAGGATTGTTCCACATAAAAGTGTTCATGGCTGGTGCAACAAAGAATGGCTTGCTGTAGTCCCAGGCTCGCACGATACATGTCAGTAGATTGTCACACAACCCTCCAGCAATCTACAAACACATATATTTAGGTTGCCAAAAGGAAGTGAAATTGCCAAATGCTTTATTTAGGAAAGCATAATATAGAATATAAAAGTTGAATAAGAAGGAGATAGGATAAGAGCAAGATATGGTCTTAATCTTATTTTACATTTGATGTGCACCAAAATAACAAATTATATGCATTATGTTATCCAATCTTGTCTATTTCTAACCCAGACCTACAGGATAAGCTTATAGGATAAACTTATCACGTCCTGTTGGTTAAACAAACTGAAAATACAATAGGATAGGAAAAGTTATTCTATGTTGTTATCTTATCCTGTCCACCAAGCATGAACATCCAAGTAAATCCTATAAAAGATGTATAGACAAAAACTGAATACCACAAGATGCATAAGAACACATCATTGTGCAAACAGGCCCGAACTGTATAAATTGGTAAGTCATAGACATGCCAGCTTGTTTAATTTAGTCTGTAGTAAATCATAGGTCATGATTTTATAATGTAAATGTGGAGACGAGACAAAATATGTCATCATTTAATTACCTTTCCAAGAGTGTTTGCCGATAAAGGAGCAATGACCATGATATCAGCCCATCTACGAAGCTCAATGTGAAGCACACTATCGCCTAGTTTCTTCCAACAAGACCATTCATCCTCATCCGTATATAAAATTACATCTTTGGGCATTGATGCTCTGTCAATAAAATGCAAAGATGAGCTCGTGGCAACTGCTCTTACTTCTGCCCAATCAGAGAAAGAATGACAAAGATTTGCAAATTTGACAGCAGCAACACTCCCACTAGCAGCAAGTAGAATCCGCGGCTTCCTCGGGGCAGCATCCAGTGACATATTCTCCCCTTCTGCACTTACAGGCTCTGAGCAGGCCATCACCCAGAGATTTCAACAATGATCTTAAACATCCATGATTCAAATACGAGTTTCAGCTCACTCATTAAAAACCTTCAAATTGGTACACTAAAACGCCTTTAGAGGACAACATATAGTAAACTAAATATTTGTGCCATATGAATGTCAATTTTGATTAGAGAATAGCATCAATAATATTTATGAAACTTTATCTATGCTTTGTCCAAGAAAAATTTCTTTAGCTATAAAATTAAAACTGCGAATATACACAACATAAGTCTCACCATAGTCATAGATAGCTAGTTCAACACCAATGACAATATCTATGGACTATTACCCTAAATTAGTTAAAAAAATAATAATATTTTCTACCATTCATGCATTACCAGGTGCGATATCCCTCGCATCAATGCAATGTATCAGATACCCCCACCATTACAAATTCATACAGATACCGAATTACCGAAGCTCATGCACAAACAGAGACCCCAAAGAAAAAAAAAATCAATTTTAATGGGGATTCCCAGGAAGGGAGAGGAAATCCTAAATCAAACAAGCATGTCCAAGGAAGAGCACAACCCATGATTTCTATACGCACAAAACCCGTAAACCGCACAAAAGATTCGATTTTTTTTTTTAAAAATTGATGGGGTCCAACAAAACGAAGAGAGAGAGAGAGAGAGAGGATACTACAATGCATGAATAACAGGAACAAAGTGAAAAAGGAAGGAAGTGGGATGAACCTGGTGAACGGGGATCTTAGCCTAACAAGCACAACAGAACAACCTCAGCAGGAACCTGACACCAAAACCCCTTTCATGCGTTGCGTTTGTCTGTTGTGCTGTCAGCGGGCTTCATAACTGTTCGACTCAGCCCACCACTCTTTTTGCAATCATAAAGTGCCGGATTAGGTGTTGATAAAAAAAAGTGCCGGGTTAGTTTACAATTTTAAAATATTTAAAAAAGTTTTAATTAAAATTACTCTTGACATATATTTTGAATACATTTATTTAAAAATAATTAAATCAAAATTAACTTTACTCATCTTTAAAATAAATAGATCCATTTATATTTAGTTAATATCAACTGTAATTTTTTTTTATAAATTTATATTTTATATAGTATATTTTAATTTATAAAATTCAACAAAAAAGGATCCATTAGCAACATGTATTAACGATTTTTTTTCCAAAATTCATTTAAATAGAATAAAATTTTTATTTTATGTCATCATTTTTTTCTTCCTTCTAAATCGGTTTTGGTCAAGATTGTTTTGTCCACTACTAAGTAGAAGTTAAAAAAAATTATTATCCTTTCCAGTAAAAACTAGAGCCGAGATAAAAATAAAAATCTTGAGTCAAATCTTATGGTGAATAGTTTTATATCCCCCCATCACGATTAGCACTCAATGCCTTTTCTATTCATTTCTTTTTTCGATTTTGTTAAAATTGATACTAAAAGTTGATGTTAAACATTTAAAAGTGTTTTATATTGAAAAATGATATTCAATATATTTTTATATTCTCAACATAATAAATATTATTTCTCAATATTTTTAATTACATAAAATCAACCTAAGGATGAAGTTAATATTTTTCAATTTTTTTTTCCTATCTGAGAAACTAAAGACAGCTTAAGCTCATAATAGCTTAGGTTACAGCGCCTTGAATTTCAAACTTTAAATACAGAATCAAAGCTCCTAATTAGAGTTCAACAAAATTTAAACTACATAAGCTTTAACTTTCATGTTGCTTTGAAATTTCAAGGGCAATACAGTGCAAATAATCATCCCGGCAACCAACAAAAATCCGGCCACCAATCATTAAAGGCGAAGAGAATATATCCCCTGGCAAGTTTAGCCTTGCAAACTCTTGCACATAGCGTGTTTGTTGATTTGCTTCTTCAGACAAATTCATGTCCACTCGAAGGAGGTGTATGCCTCCAGAACTGGAACAAATGCAAATTAACCTGAAAAAGAAAAAGGATTTCAAATTGATAGCTGATGAGTTGCAGTTGCTCTTTCAATTGAAAAAATCAACTAGGATAACCTGTCTGAAGAATGGGAGGCATCAGATTTAAGCTGCAAATGCTCGTCAACATAAGCAGATGCAGTAATTGGATCTCCAACATTGTATTGCCACAGTAGATCTCCCTCCTCCTGGTGTTAATCCAACGTATGGAAACAAAACAAAAATCAACCCAAATGAATAATTTTGAACACTGCACATTCTAACATTTTTATATTTCCCAGGACATCTCTTCATACAGAAGGTGAGAGACTAATTTCTTGATACAGTCAGGCACGAAAGGACCCATCCCAATGGCATTTTTCCCATTGATCTTAGAATCTAAAGACGGACCACATGCAATGAACCCTGACGCACACTCATCATATGTAGGACAAAGATTTAACATTGTTGTTCTTTCACAGTGAATTTGCCTTCGTTTCAAGAGTTAAACGAGGTAGCTTTACGAAGTTCACTAATATTAAAAATTAGTAAATGAACATTCATTCAACTTAGTAACAGTTTTCATCAGTTTTGTGCATGTTTTAAAGTGATAGAGCATAGAATAGATGTTCTCCAATACATAGTGAATATCAATTTTTAAACTGTCAGACTTAATACTACCGGCACATGGCAATACTTGAACAGATACATGTCAATTAACAACTTGAATAATTCAGCAAGAGGGATTATTGTAATCCCCTAAATGACTGGAAAGTAGGAACACCACAAGTCACTCTCTAGTCAGCAATGGCCAACATCAGGTGGATATGTGGATTCATCTCTACTCTTACTTGAAAGAGAGAGAGATAGAGAAAGAGGTGGGAGTGGAACACACAACAATAGCCAGCAGTAAAAAGATTTCAAGATTTTTTGTCCCCTTACCTGATCTTGTTTACTGAAAATACATAGCATATTAATATGTTATGTATATGTATGACAAACTATGAAACACAATGAATTGAATTGTCAAAAGGGAAGGGAGAGGGAGAAACACTGCCAATAACAAGCAGCATATAAACAGATATATAGATCCAGCAATTAACTTTGATCTCAGATAGGGAATATAAATGTAATAAAGTAAAAAAGTTGCTGATCATGAATCTAATACAGTAAAAATTAAAATCCACCAAAGAGATTATAAAAGAAAAAACAAAAAGAAACAAGTTTCTCTGTCAATTCTCACCAGTTTGAATGAGGACACACTTCCGCTTCTAGAGCATACAAGCACCTAAGGTGGAATAAATAAAATGATTACTAACATAAATAAATCTTTCACCAATTATTTAGAGCGATTGAAATATATTTATCGGATAACTATTATAGTATACTACTATCTAGACTTCATAAATAACCTTGGATGCACTGCAAGTTAACTAGTTAAAATTGAGTGACCCATTTCCTTGTTAGTTATTACCATACTATATCCTAAACAGAAACCAGCTTCTCAAAATCTTTTATTGGCCTTGACAAATGGACATGAAGAGGTAAGCGGAATATGAATCAAGTAAATGGCCATGTAAAATCCATGAAGAGATTGATGTACCTCATGAGGAAGAACAGAAGGTATGCATGGCCCAGCAAATATTGGACCATCAGTTGTTTTCTGAGAAAAATTCAGCAAGGAAGGTTAAAAATAATTCCATCCAGGAATATAATTTGCATCCATAATAAGGTCCATACTTCATACCTTCCAAACTAAGGATCCATTTGGATCGAATGCAAGAACATGGCCATCTACCAAGCAACATATTACTGCAACAGGAAAAAAAATGTACTGCAATAAGAACAAATAATGTATACAGGACATAAATAATTAGAAAGACAATATAATCAAAAGGCAAAGTAATAATACATACCAGTTCCACTAGGGGTGGCGGCAAGAGAACCAAACACAGGGACTTCTAATTCATGTAGCCACAATATAGTAAACGGAGAAGTCTGGATTCAATAAAAATTATTAGTCTGACTAAGGTCAATAACTCAATTGACTTGCACATGCTGGCAACTTCAACATTCAGCTACATTAACAGGTTAATGCATCTAATGTTCAAACTAAGGATTGATCTCAACTTAATACTAAGCAATTTCAATCATTACAATTTTTTTAGTCCATTTCAATTTGATCACTAGAGCTTTTGGCTGAAAACCTGCTTCACATAAAAACCTTAGCAAAACCAAATATATGCCTATCTATATCAGATTTACTACAGATCGAAGTGGATGAAATATCTCAAGTTGTGAACACCAGGCAAGCAACAAAATCCTAATTCCTAATTCTTTATGCTGTCAATATACAGGTCATCCTGTAAACTGACAAGATAAGAGGTCTAAGTAGACTTTAAAAACCCGTACTTTTAGTTGATAGGTCCTCTCTATTCTACCAATGTAACACTCTGGTTATGAAAAATCATTGCCTCTTCTTTTCTTCTTTTTTTTTTTTTTTCTGTTTGGTTCTTTCCTCTATGAATCTTTAATTATTGTCAGTTTGCAAGATAAACATTAAACATCAAACACCTTGCTTCCTCCCTTCCTTTCATTCTTTGTTCTTAGGCTCTTGCTTCTATAGGTATTTAATAGTTCAATTTGCAAGGTGAACATTAAATATCATATTAGTGGAGTTACTAACAAATCAACAGTTGATTCTAGGGGGGGAAGAAGCTGATATGCCTGAAAAAATATTTTAACAAGAAACTAAATCCAAAGGCTGGAATTTGGGTAAGTACAAAATTGAAGTCTCCCTAAAGAAATAAAAACTCATGCATGTATAGATTTCAGAATTAGTTAGGGTAGTTATTGATTTATTGTAGTTAGTTAGTGAAGGGGTTGGTGAGGTAAATAAATAGGATGAAAATGTAAGGGAAAGGACATTCAGATCTGTTATCATTTGTAAATTGAGTATTGGTTCTTTGTGAAAGAAGAATCTTTTATGAAGGGAAAACTCCTATTTTTGTGTTTCTTTCCACTCAATTCAATAAAATCTTTCGTTTTGTGTTACATTTATATTCCTGGCTCCTAACACATGCTTGTATAGATTTGAGAATTTATCGTACCGATATTGATATAGCTGTTATACGACCACCAGTAGCGGCTACATAAAGCAAGCCACGAACCTACACAACAAATTAGTAAAAGAAATTAAGAACTCAGTAGTAATCTTATTAAAACCAATATAGATGTTAATTGTCATTTAGAAGGGAAAATTCACCTCATCAATGGCAGGTGACCCATATATACTGCCTCCACATGGTAGCTTGTAGACACAGCAATGTTTTTTGTAGTCAAGAGCATACAAGTTATGATCATGTGAGCCACACCTGTGTAAACATTAAACCAAGCATACAACTTCAATAATTTCCAATCAAGCTATATATCACATCCTTTTAACATATAACAGCGATTCTGAGTTCTGACAATAAGACACATTGGAACAGGTAATATTTGACACACTATTAGACTCTTTGAACATGAACTCATGAGGCAAGAAATTCCACTCTTGCTTCTAGTCTAACAATTAAAACTTTTGTACTTGGTAGTGTTTGGTTTTTAACAACGACATACTTATCTAACAAGGACTCGATACACTTAGTGAAGAGTATTTCTTAGGATAATAAGTAATGCAACTTCAAAGACATTATTACACATGAATACTAAATGCATTTAAACACAAGATACAAGAACATACTATTTCCTAAGTACATTAATGCCAATATTTCTGTTAAGAAACTTAAGCCTAACTCACTCTCAAAAGTTAGCTCATAGGAGGATTACCCTAGTCTTTATAAAGAGTTTTCTAACTCTATTCCTAACCAATGTGGAACATCTTAATACCTCCCTCTCATGTTTAGGACTGGACATTTGATGTGTGAAATTTACAGGATTTGATATTTGCATAGGTGGCCTAATAGGATTGGATATTTGTGGGTAGTTCAACATTCAAACTGAATAGGCTGTAATACCATGTAAAAAACCTTAACCTTAACTCACTCGCAAATGCTAGTTCATCGGAAAACTACCCTAACCTTTATAAGAAGTATTCTAACTTTATTTTTGGCCAATGTGAGACATCTTAACAATTTCCAACAATTTTCAAAATAAGTTTTAGGAGAATCCTTACACCCTAATAGTTTTCCAGGTTTGACAACTTGTATTGTAAAGTGTGCATAAACTTTTCTTTTCCTTGGGAATATAAGTTTCTCAATCAAATAATTTATGAAGTATATTATTTTAAATTAAAAATAAATTTCATATCTGAATGCAAATTTGTAAATTGTACAAACTTTTAAAAAGCAACTTAGATGTGGTGGCAATCGATAATCATAAACTGATTGGTAGCCTGACATATATCTCACTAAGAGTCATCCAAATACAAACATATAATGTAAACACCACTTCATCTCAACCCATTAGCATGTCTTGTGTCCTAAAACATTAGAAAAAAAAATAAAATTGGAGCCCACAAGGAACAAATTTGAAAATTCCAGTGTGTCAGTTGAACTTTGACCTTCATTATTCTAGTGTCTTCTATTCCACTCCTCAACTATCCAAATGCCAAAAAAAGCATATTCAATGACTAAATTGTACAAGCAGTCCTCTAAAGGAACAATCTTACACATCCATCTCACCTACAAAGGTTCTATGTACAATGAAGATTTTAGATGCTAATTGCTAGAGAAAAGTTTCTGATTTTAGCAGTACTTACCTTAAAATGTTAAGTACTTAAATTAAATATTGCACCATAAAGAGTATGCATGATAAACTAACAATATAGAAAGAGAAGCATAAAAAAATTACCAGATCAACTGTCTGAATGTGTCTACAACTGGCTGTGATTTTACCTTCACAAGTTCAAAACATAATTAGAAATTGACCACAAAAGAGGAGGAGAGGGGTCAGATAAATGAAAAATGATTCTTTTAATATGACCATGTTTAACATAAAAAATTAGAGATAAACAAGGGAAGTTACAACTTGGCGGAGGATACTCCAAAATAAATAAAAAAAAATACAAGGAATGAAAAAAAAAAAAAAAAAAAAACCAACAATGCAGCCAGGTTGCTGTCTGGCTCTGCATATCAGAAATGAAAACTCCCTTGAAACAGCTACGGGTAGAATAGCCAAGAGAATCCATGAATAAAAATCTCATAATATGCTGCTCATTAACTAGTATACCAACTTATTTAAAGAAATGAAAAAACTCAAAGTCAATTTCACTCCACGCAATATTTTCAACATGAAAACTTAAAGGATCAAATATTATATGATTATTTCACCCAAGATTTTGTTTGGTCACTTCACTTTGAGAGGTTTTCACCGAATACCAAATATTTAGCTTTTATATAATATAAGAAAATGCTGAATTTATTATTATTGTTGAAATCCTACGTGAATTACAAATATAGCTCAAATAGAACTTATAAAGGTTAAAGCAATCAACACCTTACAAGCTAAATTTCAGAGTTGAGTTAGGCCTTAACCCAAATTTAAGATAGTATCAAAATCTGATATTAGCCCATTCTTGACTAAAACAAAAACTTGGGATTGATAACGTGTATAGTAAAAATTATCTTATGCCTATAGTTATAGTCTTTAGGATAGTGGTCATCCCACTACCTTGCTATAGTGTTTTTTGGATTGGCAACTTTGCAACACGATCTTGAGATTGATAACTATGGTCTGTAATGTGATATGTGTCTGTAAACTTGATGCAAGAAAATAGACACCAGAGAAACTCAAACAAGAAAGGACAGGAATTTGATAGGGAGTTAAAACTTGATACCTCACCAGATGTTTGGAAAATCCAACAGATGTTGCCATTCAAAAAATCAAGAAAATATATTTTTCCCATGTAACATCCAACAACAACCTAGAGAAAAGAAATATCATGCGTCAGAACAAATGGATAGAATCTTATAGTCTTATTGCACTGCAGTAAAATAAGATATTAACAACTAAAAATCAACCTGGGAAAAATCAGAAACAATTGCTGCAGTACATTCAATACGTCCTTCTAGTTTGATCTCCCACTGGACAGAACCACTAAATCAATTAAGTAGAAGTTTTAGTAATGCTAGAACAGAAAATAGACACCAAAAAACTTCGCTCTACAGTTCTAGCATTAGTACAGCAAATACATTTGCTGTCCCAGAGACTGAAGTCTCCTACAGAGAGTGTTCTCTGTCCACAAATTGCAAAGAACAACACAATTGCCTAATTACACAACCTACAATCAAATATAATCCTAAAACATTTCTGTCATTTGTTATTTTTCATGAAGACCTGCCATCATAGTTTCTAATACAGAATAAACACAAAATTGCTAATGCAAGATAACTTCTGTTCTATCTCACATACTTCTGATAATAGTTGCCCCAATCCATCACTGGATCTTTCCTAACCCACTTGAATGTCAGTTCCCATCAGATCTACATCACACATCAATCTGTACTAAAATATGTTTAAGTGCACAAGAAATTATCATGATGCCAATTGCAGAATTGGTTAAAATTAGATTAAAAAATGAGTTTTCGGTTGTATGCAAATTGTATATAATGAAAATGCATTCAAACACAAAATTTTGATCAAGTTTATATCAGTAACGAGAAGCACTAAGCAATGGATTTAAGCCATTTATATAAACTATGATCTATATTTACCTTCTAGCATTTAAGCAGAGAAATTTATGTGAGTGAGATCCAATGAACAAATAAATGTCTACGCCTTTAAACACAAGCATTGGTGAAGCATCAACACAAGATTCCATGCAAACTTTCCAACAATCTTTTATATGACCTCTGCTACCTCTTGGAACATTTGCAGACCAAGTTGTTTGGTGTGTATCAATTACTGCCAGCTTCCCTTTATGCAAAACCTTGTTGCATCGGCTAAATGAGGATGATAATAGATAAGGGGAATACCATGAGAACAATTCATCACCTTGTGATGCAACATCCGTAGAAGAAGAACCCATCTTTAAGCGTTTGGAAGGAAAAGAATTGTCATCATTATCTTCAGAAATTATTCTTGACTGAAGAGGACTAGAATTTTCAGCATGATTGGTAGAAACATGCTTATCTTGACTGTCTCTGTTTATTTGCAAGCAATTGTCCAGCCTGTTATGCAAAGAGCATGATCCTCTTTTTTGGAGAAGAGCCATACAAAGCTTAAAAGGACTTGGATAATAGTAAAGAAATCTCAAGTCAATCCCCAAACTATGAGCAACATGTGCAGCAGAAAGAGAGTTACCACCCATCATAAAGAAATCATCATCATTGCAAATCCTTTCAACCATTAAAGCATCATGAAAGGCCTGTTAAAGCAATAATCAAATCAAAATTCTTAGTTCTGCAGAAAAAGACTTCATTCAGTAAGTAATAAGTGGCTGAATCCAGAAGGAAACATACTATTAGTGGATAAAAAAATTATTGCATAAACAGTTAAAGAGTTAACATGCTACATGCATAAAATACACAAGGAAAATATAGAAGCAAAATAATGTCTCATTATATTAGAGGTCCATACCCCATTTCATTATTTTAATGCATCATAGATCACACAAAGGAAAGACATATACATTCAGAACAGTCACAAATTTTTTAAGGAAATTTTATTAGAGAGCAAAGGGGTGAAGGTGAAGTACAACTAGGAGAAGAATGAGGAATCCTCCAAAATAAGAAAACCAAGGGAAAAACAAGCAGTCATAGACATGTATTTAACAAAATGAACATGCTTGAAAAGAACTGAACAAGCTGACTTATAAAATAGTCCTTCTGAAATGAATATTGCCAACAAAGCCAATGTGGAGTCAAAGCACAAACCTATTATACCTTGTGCTAAAAACTTAATTAAGACTAGGGATTTGAGTTCAACCCATAACCATGAGGTCATAGGGGCCTCTAATACCATACCAAGGACCAAATAAACCCTAAAACTGTTTGGTGCATGCCCAAAGATGGTTTTTGTTTCTAAGTTCTGAACAATAGTGTCAGTTCAATCCCAATCAAATTATATACTGCAACAGGAGAGCTGCTAGCGACTTCCTATTCAATCTTCACTCTAATACATTGCAACCCATTCTCTCCATAAGTAGGGCAATAGGAAGCTTGAAATTGCAGGTTTGTATATTTACTTGTTTTTTCTTTCTCAAGGGTCTGCAGGCTTTTAGAGTAACTAACAGATACATAAAAAATATATATTAGGCAGACACAAATCTGCTATCCGCCCCCCTCCCCCACTAAATCGCCTTTCCTTTTCATTTGTTGCATTGATTACCAGTTGTGATAAGTTTTTCAGATGAAAGAGGCAGGCAACCAGACAAATCACAGCCTTAATTATATATTACCCAAAAAAGAAAAAAAAAAGAATTATAATTTGATATCTAGTCATGCATGCCACTTATTGTCAAATAATTTACCCTTTACACCATTGTTCATTTCCAATTGGGTCTATTTGATTTACAGCATATTGTTCAACAGAACAAGATCAAAGGAGATATTGTGATTTCTGTCCTAATGTACAAAAGATAATTGTCTATATGAAATAATGAAACAATACCTTTTTAATAAGTCGGAGAAGATTGCTGCAATCGATGCTACCAACCTTATCCTTGGCATTCTTTGTCAATAATGCTGAGCCAACCAACAACTCATAATTAATCTTACCACTAGGAAATGCAGGAAATGATTCCATAAAGATGAAACGGTTGGGAAGCACAACTGAAGGAAGTTTGTTAATCATCCAACTTCTGATTGCAGGTATTAATAACTCACCCAGTCTTTCCTTGTCCCTTAATATAATAAAGGCTTCAAGAAACACAAGTTCTGCTTGATTATTTTGACAAATTACAGCGGCATCATTTATATATGGATGTTCCCTTAGCAAGTTTTCAACTTCTTCTAAGGCAATACGCTGTCCATTGACTTTTATAATGCGGTCTTTTCTTCCAAAAAATACAAAGTCACCACTTGGCAACTGTCTGACTAAATCACCCGTTACAAAGTATAATTGGCTTTGGCTAGCATTAAGAGAATCATCACAACTGTAACTCCGAGGCAATTTTACAAATGCATCAGATATTGTATTAGATTCGTTATAGTAACCTCTAGAGATGCAAGAACCACCAACATATAGCTCTCCCTCATTCGATGAACCATTTTTTCCAAGAAGTATCACTTCACAGTTAGTAATGGGTAAACCTATTGGAACACTGGTTAGCATTTCTTCCTTCAAAATCAACGGTATCCTCTTGCAATCAAAATATATACAGTCACCAGAGACCTTAGTTACAAAAATGGAAAAGGAAAGAATTGCATTAGCCAATGATAATTATACAGAAGACTAGGAAAGTTCACTATGACAAGCACCATGGTAAAAACTCATGTAAATAAGTTACATAAGTTGCATTTAAAATAAGATTAGAGAAAAAGAAAACAAATGCATTAGTCAATGATAATGACACAAAGGACAAGGTGCAATGTAGAGCCTCATGACAAAATCTAATGTAAACAGCTCAAGTCACGCCAGGTTTCCCTGGGAGTGGGACTACTATGTAATGATTGAACAATTGAATGAGATAAAAACTTAGATTATATTTGCCTTTATGTCTTTACTAGAAGTTACTCCTCAAACATAAATTTCTTCCCCAATCTTCCTTCATATCAAGTTCCAAGTGGGTTTGGTTTTCTGGTTTACTTAAATATTAGTGAAACAACTATGTTTCCAAGTTATTCAGTCTATAATATCTAATGTACATGACTACACATAAGCATTGAATTCCAATAACAAAGCAAGAGGAAAACAAGATAGAAGCTAGGATATATTTTGAAATTACCTTCACACATGGAAAAGAACAAGCTATATCAAATTGGGTGTGCAAGAATGTTATGAAAGGGACCAGACAGCAAATGCAAATTATGAATGTTGCAAAATTTCAGACTAGAAGGATAATCTTCTGCTCTAACCTCAGTACTTCCATATAAATTCAAGATGGAGGTCTTTGGTAAGATAGTTGAAATCATCTCCCACAAGGTCAAAGGAAAAGTTTCACCACTAAGCACAAGCAATTTCAGTGAACTTCCAACTCGCATGTTAGCATGGGTTTGCAATCCAGGAAGAATGGTCCTCATTAGTGATGGAACAGCCGTAAGCCTATTAACAAAATATGCCTACAGAAGCATTTAATATAACAGGAAAAGGTAAGAAATTAAAAGAAATATAATTTTATTTTATTATTAAATGATAGTGTGATAGAAACTAATAGAATACAGAATGCTTCTCAAACATGTGTCATATTTAAAATATAAATTACAGTCTTTATGAAAAGTGTTCAAGTTATATCTATACACATATAAACATTGCAAAACAGTGTTTCCATCAATATTACCGCAAACATAATATGTATTTATTTGGCAATACAACAAGAAAATTAAACCCCCAAAGGTAATATTCATGATAAGCGTTGTGCTAGAAGGGAATATAAAGCTGCATTTCTAGCTGAAAGGGAAATAAGAATTCAATAAGTTATCAAAGAAAAAGATAACATTGGTGATGCATAAATCACCAAAGCACAATAAGGACCTACCATACCTGCAGAAAATCTATGATAGAATATATATTTTCTTTTAGCTCATTGGGAGGAGGAATAACTAGCACACAAGCAGTCAGAATAGCACTGAGAAATTCTTGCAGGTGGTCAATGAAGCTAATTGACGTCTTAAACAACAGTAGTTCCTGCCCACTTAAAGGATACATTCCTTGCATCCATAAAAAGCGATTTGAAAGACCTAGCAAGAATGTAAAAGTAAAACAAATTGTAACATAGTACAGTACATACGATATTCTTCTTCTAGTGTGTAGCACAAAAATAACAAAAGTTGGAAACAAACAAGGGCACAATGTAACATTTGAGTAAATAAATCCTGTTTTTTATAAGCATAACAATAAACTACAGTAACAAGTTACCTTGTTCAGTGCCACACACTCCTTTAGGCTTTCCAGTTGATCCAGAAGTGTACATCAGATAACAAAATGATCTCTCCTTTTCACTGGCACAAGGCCATGCCAAATCTGCTGGATAGCTACATTCTTGACGGTTCTCTTCAATGGAGTAGTTCAAAACAGGACAATTAACTGACTTTAGCAGCCAATGCGATAGATCAAGCTTGTCCAAATCACTTTTACCAAATGAGGATTGGGACCCTATAATGAGATCAACATTTGAAGAAGAAGCAACTGACAATATCCTTTCGTTTGGCCAAAACGGGTCCAGAGGTAGGAAGGCTTCCCCACACCTCAGTACTGAAAGAACAGTAACAATATATTCAACAGAAGGAGGCATATAAATTCCCACTATCTTTGGCCTATACTCTTCGCTCGATTCAATCAATGCCTCTTCACTAGGCATGACAGTTTCCAAGGATTCAGGTGTCTGTATTTCCTCTTCACAGTCGACACCATCATTACCTGAAGCAGAATACAGAATGCCAATGCAACATCAAGCACAATCTTTTCCCCATTCCAACACATAAAAGATTAACAACGGGCCATTGAATAACAGTTTTTCAGTCATTCGCAAAAGCTTCTGAAACACATATATTGGAGAAAATTCAGAGACTATATCAAAGATAAATTTCCAATCATTCTTCGTTCACTTTCATAAACATTTCCTAATTTTTTCAATTTTAAAATGAAAAACTACCCATTCCCTTCCTTTCCCTCCAATCTCCACCAACCAAACATGCCCTAAAATAGCTTCCGCACTCTAATAGACGTTATGTCACGCGCATGAAAATTTTGCACGAGAGACTCATTCCAACATTGCCATTAAGAAAGAAGTAGTTTACAGTCACAACTAAAAACTAACTTAACAGAAAATTTCCATTATGGAGAGAATAACAAACCTTGAGGTTGGGCTGTGATCAAGTGGGGGTCATCCGCACCAAGCAGGATAGAGCGGAGGCGGAAGCTGAGGGAACTAACAGCGTTCAAGAGATGAGAATAAGTGAAGGAACGGTCCCCATGGTAAAGTGGCGGTGACGTGGATTCAACGCGCTTTTCTAAGAGCGTGGTAATGTCTGCATTGAAGTTGGGCGAGGAAGGATTTTGGCGGCAAAACTCTCTGGAAAGGTGAGCGACGCCTGAAGCATGAACCACTGCGATTTTGTTAGGGTTTGCAAACGCGATTCGGACGAATTCGTGGGAAACGCAACAATACGGAGTGTCTCTCTCTCCTTCTCTGCGTTCATCGTTATCGTTCATCTGACTATGGACTGAACTGAACTGAACTGAACTCTGTTCGGAGGACGAAAGAGTAGAAATAATGGAAAGAAATTGTAAAAACGAGATATAGAAACAAAAGGAAAAGGATAGAAGTAAAAAATAAAAATTAAAAATTGCGAGTTGTCAAAATAAGATATTAATTTATTTGACAAATAGTATCGAAATTGTTTAAATAATTTTATCTAAACTTTTCTTTTAAAAAAATATTATAACTTATACTCTCTTATGAATAAATTTACATTTTTTATTTGCATTATATTATAAATTTGAGTAAAAAAGACAAATAAGAAGAAGTTTAATTTGATTTCAAGAATAAAAATATGAAATACTTTAATTCTTTAATATTTCAATATTCATTTTAGGTATTAGTGAGTTTCTTAGAAATTAAGGTAGGATACAACTTATATTTTACAAATCAATCATATGCTTAAAATAAGGGAAACTGATCAAAGAATTAAACGCCTATTTAGTTTGTGAAAAAAAAAATATTTTCTGTTTTTATTATTAATTATAAACCTATAGTTTGTTATTTTATTTTTACAAAGGAAAAAAGTAAAAATAGAAGAATAAGTTGTAATTTTTCAAAAATTTTATAAAATAAAAATATTTTATGAAACTAAACAATACCTAGAGTGTCCTAAACTTATATTAATTTATGAAAATAGTGTATCACTCTTATAAATTTTTTAAATTTATTTTCATAAGTTTTTAATATAATTTATTAAAATAAATTGTTTTAAATATATTTCAATAAAATATTAAAATAAATTACATATCCAAATAGTGAAAATTTAATAGTTTTTTCTTTCCAAATATCAAATGGTCCCTATATTATTCAAGCCTCTTGCTTAAAAAACTTTTGCTCTTTTAATTTATTTAAGAGTTATTTGGGAAGAAGAGTTTTACACTACCGGAAACACGCTTTATACAGAAGCATAATACAAATAGATTTTTTTTATCTGCAAAACTAACAAATTTATAGATAGATATTCAATTTTATTTTTTTAGAGAAATTTGTTTGTATTACAAATAGAAAAAATCTATTTGTATTATCCGTCAATATTACAGCCCGCTATTTAGCGCGAAAACTCATAAATAGAATTACAGATAGAATTTTTTGTTTATAATTTGAAAATTAGTGAGATTTCTGGAGTGAGAGTTATAAACAGAAAAAATGTGTCCATAAATATGACTATTTTTATCGATTTTTCATTTGTCTATTTATAGATGGATTTTCCTGTTTGTAATAGTCTTTGGTAGATTTATAGACGAAAAAATATGTATGTAATTGAACCCTTAAAATGCACTATCTCATTAAATCATTTACAGATAGAAATTAAATCATTTACAAATGGATTTTTTCATATGTGTGAAATCCATCAAAATTGTGCCTACTCCTTCTTCTTCTCACTTTTTATTATTTTTTCTTTCTCTCATCTCCCTGTCTGTCTCTTTCTAGCATTATCAGTTTTTTGACCTTTGTAAGTGGCTGAAGCATTCATTTAAAAAATAATTTGTATCATTGAGTTCTTGGTATGATACTCAAACTTTTAATCGGTTTAGTTTTTTAATTTTTGATGTATAATAGATACTAAAAATTTTTGAGATAGAGTTGTATGACTGGAGATTGTATGACTGGAGAATGGGCGTAGAGGTTCTTCCCCGAACCTGATTATTGTGTGTTGTGGAGTTGTTTGTGCTTGCGGAGATTGTAGAATATGCATGTTGTAGAGTTATAAAGGGATGTGTTCTAGAACGGTTTATGATTGTGATAAGTATATTTTTGATACATTAATTTATAATAGATTGTTATATAATATATAGCTTATGTGTAAAGGAAATTTAGATTTTTGTATTAAGTACATGTAAAGAACAAGACAAGGAAATATTCATATATTAAAGGAGATTCTGCCAAAATTTACATTAAAAATTTATTGTATTAAGTGTAAACAAATATAAGGAAATATTCATATATTAGGAGAGATTCTGCCAAAATTTACATTAAAAATTTGTTGTATTAAGTGTAAATAAATTTGTTGGGTTGACACACGATCTTAGGCCACATATGTAAATCATCCTTATTAACACTATATGTTAATTATTAATGATTTATTAAATAGTTCTCGAGACTGATATATAATTATTTGCATTAAACTGTAGGATGAATATGTTCAAAGGCTCGATGAGGCATCTTCTCAAGATTCAGAGTTAGTTGATAAAGATACTATATGATGAGAGACGGTGGATGGTCTTTATAAAGGCCGCATTTATGGCATGAAAAGCCGTTTTGTAGACTTTAAGTCCTCTGTATCTGTCACCAGAGATGCCCTTTCTCTTGCACTTGAGGAAATAGAGAACATGGTTTGCACTCAAGTTCATGCCCTCAATGAAGAAATACAGAAGCAAAATGAGGAGATATGGAAGACCAAGGAAAGTGTATGGGAGAAGAAGTGAGCAAAGAAAATAGAGAAGAAGGTGGGCTCCAGGATGTAGAGAGAGGTGCAGCAGCAGCATATGCAGCAGATTCATGCATACTTTGACCTTATGAGAGCAAGCAGTTCTACACCTCTCTTCCTCTTCCACTAGCTCCAATACCATCAATCTTCAGTTCTACACCTCTCTTCCTCTTCCACCATCTCCAATACCATCAATCTTTAACTTCATGCGTCATTCCTCCTCTACTAATGGTGATACTTTTTTAGAAGATGATCACGCCGATTATTAGTGATATATAATGTTATTTTATTTTTAACATTATTTATTGAGATGTTTACTTTTCATTTGTAATGACATTTTAATTTTATATTTTATAAATAATTTTTAATTTTAAATATATAATTTTGTAGTTTTTATTATGTTTATAATTTGTGATAATTAGGAATAGTAAGAAATAATTATGTATATACAAAAATAAAAAAAATTAAAATTTCATAAATAGATTACAAACGGATTTTTCTATCTGTAATTAAAGGTAGATTTTTTCGTCTATAATTTACAGATGAATTTTTTCATTTGTAACTTAAAGACGAATTCAAAAATCTGTTTGTAATTATTTACCAATGCGTATATTACAGACGAACTGGAAGAGTCTGTAATTCTAAAATTTGTCTGTAATAATTAAAAAATATGTCTATATTTACAGGTTTTTTAGTAGTGTTAAAAAGAAAAAAAGAAAAGAAAAATTTTAAATAAATATATTTAAAATTAATATACAAAGACAAAAGGAAATATAAACATGTTAACGTATGTATTTTTTATGCAAGATATTAAGAAATTTAAAAATTTACAATAAAATAAAATTGTGAACAAAATTGATAATAATAAAACTTACAAACTGATTGAAATAGCTTTCCTATTCAAGATTTGACAATAACTTTTAAAGGAAACAAGGTAAAAGGTTGTTTTAAAATAAGAGGGATGAGATAAGAAAGTTTTGAAAGATAAAGCTCAATATTTCTTCGATGCCTTCTCACAAACGTTATACTTATATAGAAATTGTTAAAATTTCTTACAATAAATGCTCTTATAACTTTAAGTAATAATTATGTAAGATAATTCATTGTTGAGAGATATTTTGCCAACACGTTCTTTTACTGTTTGATAGCGCTTTTACTGTTGTTGGATTTTATTAATGTTATTGTTCATGCATATACTCGTGACACTTTTACTTTATTGCAAAAGTGGAAAGAAATCAAAACTATTATCTTCATTGTTAAATAAGTCATTAGGACTGTTTTTCACTTGTTCATTTTTTTTTGGTAAATTTAGATTAGGAGATAGTTGTGATACTAGCTTTTGTAAATTCTTGTCCAATTTTGCTGCACTTGTTGATTCAATAAGTCAATTTTTTTTTCTAAAAATACTGCATCTTATAAAGAAGATGGAGCTGATTTGGTGTTATTGTATTATTGCTACTAGATTGAACTTAATGTCCTATGAATAATAAAAGTTATTTATTTATTTGCTCTTTACTTAATAAAATAATATTAAATTTATTCCATTATTTATCTTATTACCCAAATAAGATATTAAATAATTTGATTGTTGTGTATTTTTGTTAAATTATACTCTCAAGAGGTAATACAAGCTATGTCTTAGTGAAATAAGAAATCAATTAATATCATTCTTCAAAATTTATTTTTGTAATTAAGTATTAAAAGTTCATAAAAGTTTCTACATCAAAATTTTAATGAAATTCTCTTTTTAAACTAAAAGAATCAAGAACGTTCATTAAGTTTTATATATAATATTTTATTATAATCTTCAATATAATCAAAATAATTATATTATTAGATAGAATATAAGATAAAAAAAACTTTTATATTTAAAGAGAAGTCATCTTGTTATTATAATAAAATAACATTTAAAATTTTTACCTTAGAAAAAGTAATATTTTTTTTAATTATTTTTAGCTTGTTAATTTGATAGATATTGAATTTACAAAAATTAAATAATATTGCTCAATTTTTAAATAATATTTTAACACAAAAGTAAAGTAAGTCAAGAACACCTTTTGTACAATCTCTTATCTTATTTTTAAGAAAAATAAAATTAAATATTCAATTTCCATCACAATTTAGATCTTTTTGGAAAAGATTTGTGTTGGAATGAAACTAGGGGTGCACATTTTCTGTCCTCGAAGTTTATAAAAACAAGCACATCCCAAGATAATCATTAGCTAACAAAACAACGTCATAGTTGTAGTGAAGGACACACAAAAATGTTTTCACACATTCATTAGTTGTCGCTTCTCGATCAACCATTTATGGGTCAATCCGTCAATGAAGTTTGAAAGAATCTTAAGTTAGATTTGAATTTACGTGCTGCACGAATCGTTTGTTCAGACCTAAGATTCATATTCGGGTGGCCTCGTGTTGCACATGCTATAAAAATATCTGTAAAATGCGTGGAAGTTAGATGCATTGCAAAAGCCGTGAATTTATAATTATTTTTTAAATTTTAAATAAGAATTTATTAACATTATTTTTATTATAAATTTTAATAATTTTAATTTTTAAAATTAAGAATAAGTAGCT